TCATGAGATCTCGGCATTGCACAAACAAACAATGTCATCTTTAGAATCAACATTTGCCTTCACTGGTGAGAGAAAACAAATCCCATCACAGTTCATTTGTGGGACTTTTACCTTTCTAGTATTGAACAAACAATGAAAAATACATAAAATATGAAGAAAAACGATTATGCAATCTAATTTATAACACCCGCCATCACGGGCCACGGACTCACTTTTAAAATTAAATTTATTTATTTATTTATTTTTTAAAGCATTGAAACCGGATCTGATTTCGGTACGGTATACCGTAGCCACCAGTAACTGGTATTTCGCTAATACCGGATACCGCTATGCATCCCTACCTGTGACACAGTTTTTGTATGTTGTTGTGTTTAGACAGCGGGTATCCTGCTTACCTGGGCGCCAGACTCGCCTCCTTCTATGAGCGCGCCGGACGTGTGAAGTGCCTGGGAAATCCAGAGAGGGAAGGCAGCGTTAGCATCGTAGGAGCGTGAGTGGATATACTTTTTTTTATCCCCAACATCTGCTATACAATTGGACACAATGCATAACATTGAAATGTACTTATAGTAGGTGGATTAAACAAAGACCAAGGATTCTAAATGAATTTCATACCTAAAACTTCCTGTGTCAAAGATTCAAGTTTCACAAACCTCATTGACGTTGCATTTTAAAATGTACTGAGACCAGTGCATGGTTGGAAATCAAATCAAAGTTTTGTAGCTACACAGCATGTTGTACTTTTTGGACCGCCTTTAGTGTTCAACTTCCTTTTACTTTTTATTATATGTGATTTGTGTTTAAAGGTCTTTTACATCTAGAGTTTGTAATAAGTTAAACTTTTTTTTGATTCCCTTTTTGGTAACAAAACAAACCTCAGCACTCAACACTTTTTATCTGACTGACTTCTCCTTAAATTCTGTGCTTTCCTCTTAGTGTGTCCCCCCCTGGTGGAGATTTCTCTGACCCTGTCACTTCAGCCACATTGGGCATTGTTCAGGTGAGTAATGGCTTTTGGCTCTTTAGCCCTTCATCTTAGAATTTGACCTTCTAAGTTTTTAGTTAAACATTTGTTTTTGTATTTTGTAGGTGTTCTGGGGATTGGACAAGAAGCTGGCACAGAGGAAACACTTCCCCTCTGTGAACTGGCTGATTAGCTACAGCAAATACACACGCGCTCTTGATGAACATTACGACAAACATTTCCCCGAGTTTGTTCCTCTCCGTACAAAAGCCAAGGAGATCCTACAGGAGGAAGAAGACCTGGCTGAAATCGTACAGCTTGTGGGCAAGGTGAGTCCGACTATAGATTATATAACATGGTTCCCCTTTTGAATTAATTTCTACATATAATTTCCCAAATGCATGTATTTTACAACTAGTTTATTGCTGCTTTTGGTGTGAGAAATCTGTATGAGGGGCTTCTGTTAGTCAATCATTTATTTGTAAGCATGCTAACCTGGTTAATCAACAACTCTGAAAAGAGAAGATAAGTACTGATCTGTAGGAACTTGTTTTGTTCACAGGCTTCTCTTGCTGAGAGCGATAAGATCACTCTAGAAGTTGCAAAGCTCATTAAGGACGACTTCCTGCAGCAGAACGGTTACACCCCCTACGACAGGTACAAAACAAAAGAATCTCACCGACCAAAAACACATGTTTCACCATCAGAAGGCTCGAAATGGCTCTACAACCTTTTAAATAAATAGTACATTGAAAACTTTTTTTCTCCACAACAACAATTGAAGCAAATAAATTAAATAGGGATTTTCTTTCATAAAAATCCTCCCTCAATACTTACTAGGCACAAGGACGTACTTCAGCATCCATATATATATATATATATATATATATATATATACCAGTACAATGTGACTATTTGTTACTTCAACTTCTTATGTTTGTCAATATATTTGTTCGGTTTTAATTATTTTGATCATTTATTTGATATTTTTACTTTAATTATGTTTATATAAATATCTTTATTATATTTTATCATTTTGATTAACTTTTTAGTTTTGCTTCTTATTATATTAATATTTTTTTGTCTATATTTTTATTTTATGACATTATAAAATGGAGCAACTGTCAGAAATACACATTTCCCATACATACACCATATTTTTATTCTGAAACCAGGAACACATTGTTAGAAAATATTGCCATTAGTACAGCATCTCCACATGTTTTCTAAGACACGAGTCAATTTCTGTTGAAATCATGGAATAACAAAAAAATGCTGAAATAGTTTTGGTTTTCTTGTTTATTCTATAACCGAAAACTGTGAGGTCACACACACATTCTTCTGTCCACACACACAGGTTCTGCCCCTTCTACAAAACTGTGGGCATCCTCTCCAACATGATTGCTTTCTACGACATGGCCCGGCACGCCGTGGAGACCACAGCTCAGAGCGAGAACAAAATCACCTGGTCCATGATCCGGGAGCACATGGGAGAGATCCTGTACAAAATCAGCTCCATGAAGTTCAAGGTACGCCATTGTTCCTCACTTTGTGTTGGAGATAAATGTGTCTAGTTATACTCAAGGTAAATAACTTATTCGCTGTCCGTTGGATTCTTTAGGACCCTGTGAAGGACGGTGAAACTAAGATCAAAGCGGAGTTCGCCCAGCTTTTGGAAGACATGCAGAACGCCTTCAGGACCCTGGAGGAATGAGTTACCTACCTCTCAGTACATCTCCCAAATATCCAAACCCCAAATATCCAAACCCCAGTGCAGTGAAACATTGTTTGGCCCGTGTTCTTAACGTCTGCCTCAGTCATGTGAACTATTGAATTCCTCTGTGTTTACATCCCCTTGTACATTCCTGCACACGTTTCCATTTCATTTAGTTGATTTTGGACTTTTCTTTTCTCATGAACACCATACTGAAAAATGCAATCTGCTCTGCGGATGTAGCAACACTTTCAGCCCATTGCATTGCACTTATAGATCTACATCGTTATGTTGTGGTTAAAATCAGTGGGCCCCAGTATGATGCTGTTCTTGCACTCAACCAATCGCTGCATCAATGACAGGCAAGGGAGTTTATTTTTCTTCAGATGTGGCGGGGATCAATACAGATTATTAATCAAGTGGGAAATGCGCATGGGTAAAGGGACAGATACACTGCAAAACTGAATATCAGAGGGTAAAAATTCTTCAAGCTCTTAAAGTGTGATAGTGATGTTGTGGAAAATATACTTGATATTATGTGCAAAACTGTGAATGAATGATTCTGTTAGAGTTGTGTTATAAAATATGTCTCTATTATATTTGTGGGTTGTTGCTGTCTCCTGAAATAAATGTTAAAATGACTGGCAGTATGTATTTATTCATCATGAGCATGGGGAGTGTGTTGACAAAGTTGATGAGAAGATCACTTTCAAAATGTATATTTCCAGTTTCTCCAAAAATGTGCAGACTTTGATTTACAGAGCAAACTTCACTCTTCTGAAAGATTGACAGTAAAATATATTTGATTACAAATTGTAGTCATCATAAAGTTTATTTAAATAAAGTTTTAGCTTTGAAAGCTCAACCAGAGTCTGAGTACTCACCTTAACTGCTCCAACTCATGAACACACAGATGTTCAGTGAAAGTTTTTCACCTCTAGGTGGCGCACACATGCTGTTTGAATGCTGCAGGGTGACGGTTAGAAAAAGACTTGTTTTGTTTGAATAACAATTTAAACCATTATATTGTCCATACATTAGGTTTGAGTAGCTTTGGAAAAGTAAGCTAAAATATAGATTTCCATTGACTATAGTGTAAATTACAGTATATTATGTCCATTTAAAAACTGTTTGTTATGCCTGGATTGAATTACCATTACATTTTTAGGCAATCATCCATAACAAATGCTTTTATTTCACATTTAACATGCTGTGCCAAATTTCGTCAAATTAAAACCTCCTCCTAGGACTCTTAACCTTTTAATGGGCACATACAAAAAAGGCTAAAATTAGACATTTCATTTTTGTAATATGACCCTTTTTTACCAACTTACACTGTCATTATACCTATTTTTACAGATATTACAGGCATCTAACACAGATTACCTCCACTTTACGCTGTAATTACAGTTTTTGACATCCTCACATGAGGCCAGTTTGATCAAACATGACCGCAAAAAAAGCAAGGCCTATATCCCCTTTATCTGTCCACTCACTTGTCACTTTTTTTTCAATCCAAGCATCTGTTGTAGTTTGCTGATGTGAAATCCTGAGCATGTACTCTTGGCCTGACTCGCAGCTGTAATTCTCCCAAAATGGATTAGAGCCGTTATCTCGGGTTCCGGCCTCCATCAAGTCTAATGGAAGCTCATGAGCTCAACCCGCAGGAGCAAGAGCAGCATCTTTTCTCTGCATTGATTCATCCGTCCAGACTCACCCTGCTGCAGACCTTAAGAAGCTTCAATGCTCCCAGGATATACCAGCCTATATAGTCCACAATGCATCTGCCTCTCTTGATCTCATTGTTCAGTTTTTAACGACTGACATTTGAGCAGTGTGTGCAGTACGTGTGGAAGCATTCAGATCCCTTACTTAAGTATCACCTTACTGTAAAGTACTTATCTACAAGAAAGCGCTCTACATTGAAAATTGGAAGTAGAGGAATCCCAGTATCATCAGGAAAATGTATAAACGTCTAGTAGGAAGAGCAATAAAAGCAATACAAAACCCAAGAAAACAATAACATATTAGAAAATAAATTATTAAAAAATTAAAAAACGTTTCAAAATAATTTCAATTTTTTTTTTTTCTGTCAATCGATTAACTACTTTTTTGTGTATGTAGTTCTGTGAGGAACACATTAAATGACCTGAAAGTGAAAAAGAATATTTAAATACTTTTTATATTGACTATCATGTCTATGTAAACAGATGCCTCTCGCACTTGCAACCTCTTGAACTTCTTGGTATTAGCAGCTTCTCATCCTCCAGACGCCGGTGTGCGGTGTTTTCAAAGCTGTCACTTCTCATAGATCATCAGGAGGGCAAGAGAAAGGAAAACCGCCCTGCAGGGATCACTTAACACATTCTCACTGTTAATGACCAGTGTTGCAAGTATATAAACACAGGAGTTATCTGGTAATTCTGTGTGTGAGCACTGAGCAGTGAGTTCGTGTTGCTTGTGGGAGGAAATATGATCCCAGAGGGTGGGGCTGCCCTGTGGATCATCCCTCACTCTCTCATCTATGAGTGCCTGTCATGTTTCTCATACACACACTCGTCCAGCTCAGTGTGGATTGTCAACGTAGCATGTCAGCTGTGGAGAGGAGCACGAAAGACCCCTGGCCTTTATCTACCAGTTGAGGGAGAACCTATATTTATCAAGTATTCCAACTTCAAATGTTCACTGGAAGAAGCTTTTTAAGCAGAGGAAGTAAGCTATGCAACAGAAGGACTTGTGAACTATTTAAGGACATGCGAGAAGGATAGCTTTGGGAAAAGTGAGCTGGCAGATGCTACAGAATTTCAAACCACTTGCCAGGAGTTCCCTCCTGTTGGGACTCTTCCACGGTGGGAATCTGAGAAATGAAAACCATCTCAGTGCACTGACACGGTGTCGCCCAGCACTGCCACATGCAGGAACATTCCAATTTCCCTTTTCAACACAAATGAGTGATGAGAAAGTAGGCTGCTGTTTTCTTTGTATCCCCCTCAGTCATACAGAAGAAGCTTGCTGACAAGAGGACATCTTCTTAATCCATTTTCTCTTTATCCTTTGCTTAAAATTGGCATAACTTTTACCTGGAGAGAGTCAATCTGAAGTGCGTTGGGGATTTTGTACTTCGGTTGCAGAGACATAAGGTAAGTTAAGAGATCAAATGTTTTTGTTGGCTTTGTGAAGGTAGCTGATCATACTAATACAACTAAAACATTTGCATTCTTGTTAATTAACATTATTACTAAAAAGGCATACAAAAATGATGATAAGATAATGAAATAATAAAGAACACTGTCAAAAACTCAAGTAAATCTTTGAGTGTTGAAGACTGACGTTTGCTGGCCCAGATAGTTTGTCCCTGTGGACACAGTGGCCTTGTTTCAACAAATTGCATTAGAAGCTGGGGACTGAGAATCCTCAGATTTTTAGAAATGATTAATTTTTTACAAATAGAAGATCTTATAGTAAGTTAAAGGCACAGGTGGAGTGCAGTATGCCTTGTAGTGTGTGTTTGTGTGTGTATGTGCTCCATGTTTATGTGTATATGAGATATTAACTGCCCGTATAAAAAACAGAAATCTTAAAAAATATTTGTTTTTGCTTCTGAGCATTGTTATTGGATGTGGCAGATAATACCTTTTTATAAGCAATACTAACTCTAATAATTTCCCTAACACACGTGTGCTGTAGCTGTGCAGTTCATTGCTATTGAGTATAGAGTTTTAAATTGATGGCTTTTCGTGTTGAAATGACAGTTTGTAAACTTCAGTCATCTTTAGCAAGCCATTATGCAATGGGAGAAGTTAAAGCCTCCAGAGCCAGATGATCCTATGTGTTGCTGTGAGTGTGATTTGGACCAGTACGGATGTTGCTGTAACTGTGAAGATCTGGATGAAGCCTTTACCAGGTGGGTCTTTAGGAAAAGAGTGAGTAGTAGGCTAATGAGTAGAATATACTGAAGTAAGCAAATAAACCTAAATACTTAAATGTTATTTACATGCAAGTATCACTTTGTTGGAAAAAGGAGTTCAGTATCTTATTGAAAAGCTGTTCTAGGCAACAATGTCTTTGTTAGAAAGAATAATACCACTCTTATACAGCAGTTGGTTAGCTAGCATAGCACAATGACTGGAAACAGAAACCGCTGGCCTGGCTTTTATTCAAGAAATAGTCTGGCACAAGCTCTCCCCTAAACGGCAAACTTTGTTATTTACTGTTTGTTTGTTACACTGATTAAACAACTTGAAAATAAGGTGTTAAAACCTCTTAAGCCCCACGGACCCGGTTCCGTGGCCGAAATTGCGTCATTTGCAGGAAACAACGCCTAAGGAGCCTTAATATTTAATAAACTATGAATATTTTATATCCATATAATGGGAAAAAACTAATTTAACTGATCTTTTTCATTTTTTTTCCAAAAGAAACACACAATGCTAACAGTGAGCCTCTGAATTAGCCCCGAGTGAAAAATGCTAACCTATTACTGCACCGAAAATCACTCCTAGCTAACTTATTACTTATCCTAGCTGCACATCCAACACATCGTTTATGATCGTAAAGACACAGAATCTAACGGTGCCCACCTCAACACTGAAAGATACAAACTCTCGACGTTATCAGTAAAAACGTACATCAAAACATGTGGCGCTAGGTAGCCTACAACGCTAACATGGCTTACCTTGGTTTTGTCTGGTCAAAACTGGTCTTCAATGCCATTAAAACGATAACAACGATGCTGTAGTTAATCCATAGGTTAATATCCAATGTGGCTGTGTCCCCTTTGAAATGTTCTGATAATCTATAAGCAATAAAACTGCAATTCCGTTTTCAAATAGTAGAGCAGGCCATTCCTACGCTCTGTAGCAAGATTGAATGTGCGAAAGGCGCAACCTTTTTTTTAACATGAGTGTGTGCGGGACGATTTCCCTTCGATTCTATTGGCTCTAACGGTCAGAAAGAGATGTCACATGTCAAAATCGAAGAAGGGGGGGCCAGAGATAAGGAAAATCCACCCAAATGGCCCCAGAAGAGTTTTTTTTTGCTAAATCTGTCTAAAAAGGCAAATATCACTTGTTTTGCATCAATCTTGATACAGGGTACTTATTATATGTTTTACTTTGGATTCCTAAAGCTTTTAGTCTACCTTACCATCATCCAAGGTAGTTTTCACTAAGTACAACATATTTTTTGGACGGACACTATAATTTACAGTTTTTTACCATGTTCAATCTGAATTTTCTTTAAAA